GCGTCGAATCACTACGGAAGGCCCTATTGCGTGCTGTGCACCATAAACAACATGTACCAGAAATGCATCGATCCGCTGGGAAGCAAGAAGGTCGATCTCGTCGAGTACGCAACGTCGTTCTCTTTTCGATTCGTCGACGTCAAACCCGAATACCAGGTCGAGTGTCGTCTGACTTTGGCCGAGACCGGCACGCATATCACTACGTCAACGTGGACGTCATCTTGCCGAAGCTCAGATGGGTCCAAGTCGAGGGATCGAATCTGCACAGGATTGATAACAGCGTTCTCTCGTGATTTGTTTTTTTTTTTTTTTGCATTTCTTTGTTGTTTTCTTCACAGATTCAGCCACACACGCACACTTTGAAATCGATGTTAAACATGATTGTAAATAAAGATTCGAAAAACGTAATTTATCTGTTTCTCTGTTTCGATCCGGGTCGCATTCGATCTTGTTAATGAACTTTTTCAGCATCTGCTCTTCCGTTTGGGTTGGATGGTCGAGCGTAAAACGTCATCTCTTCGTACGCGGACCAGATCTACATTTCCTTGTGCGATTGTTTTCCCCTGTTTTGCTACTACCAGGTTTACACTTTGGCATGTTGACGGCTCGGTCGCAGTAAGGTAACTAAGTGGTGCTGAAATTATTTCCAACTTTGTTCTCTATCGAAGCAAATACAAGACGTCATCGGTACTGGCCGTCTACGTAATCGGTCCCGAACGAAAGTACGAAAAAGGAAACTTTAGATTGGAAGCTAAATAATCGAAGAAGACTAAATAGTATCGTTGAACTTGATTTTATTTCAAACTTTGTAAATAATCTCATATTTCAAATATATCTTGACAAACGTTATTTTATTTACATCTAATAATAAAATTGCGTTATTCGAAAATAAATATTGTCTCTGCGATTCTGTCATCGCATGCCGTAGCTCGTTTTTATGTCCTGCACCATCGTTCAGCCGCTGGCGATCGATTCGTAGACGTCCTTCAGTTCACGAATGCGTATCTTTCGTTCGCTCAAAAACACATCTCGTTGGATACGTTCGTCGATGCTCTTGCAAGCTCGATCGAGGTGAACCAGGACGTCGTGTTCCAAATCTTTCAGTCTCATTTTGTTCAGCTTTTCGTTCAGCCAGCACAGATCGGTCCTGAACTTTCCTATGGATCTTTTCACATCTTCCAGCTGGGAAACGGAAAAGTAATAAAAAACAATTATAAGTTTAGTTTCTCTAGGTTATCGTCTCAGGCGCAGAAGGTGACGGGAGATAGATAAAATATGTCTTTACTCACCTCTTTGTGAACGGAAACGATGTCTGCCGGCAGGTTTCTTTTGCCTTCGTCCTTCTCTGATCTCGGTGACTTCTCAGATCTTGAGCGACGGTCGGCAACCTTTTGATAGAAGCTTTTGCGGTCGTTCTGACGAATAGTCTGCAACGTTAAAGAATGCTTCTCGGGGAGAATGCTGCGACTTCGGTTGATCCCGTAACGGTTGTTTCTGCGCCGGTTCGTTCTTTGGTGGTTGTTCCTGCGGCGGTTTGAAAGCTGGCGTTCGATCGTGTTATCGTTGTACCAAGAGTACATCTCGATCATCTTCTTCGAAACGAATTCGAATGGTTTCATTTCCCTCGGTGTTACTTTAATAAGGTGGACTGCGCTGACGTCATAGGTACCTGTTTCCGTCATCGGTTCCTGACTAAGGGGGCGCCGTGTACGACGTCATGCGTACTGCAGCGATCATCATATGCCGACGTCATCGGTTCCTGATTAAAGTATTATTATGATAGGATGACGTGATGGTCCCCCTATCGAAGCATATAAAAGAGAACTTGGGTCGTGTCCTCGACACTTCAACGAACTGTACTCATTCGATGCAAGATGGATAGCGAAGGATTTGTCACGTGCCCCTTCTTCCGAGACCACCGGGTCAAGTGGTCCCGATTTCATCGCCACTTCTGCAAATGCAGGGCATGATACAATGGAGACGAAGAAATAGAACTTTGGCGTTTGGGGTGTCTTATCGGCGTAGAGATCAGCAAGATGGCCGAACACGAGGAAATATGTTTGATGAGGCAGCGATACGTCCAAACTTCAAGTTCGCCGACGAGGCACGGAAGTCTTGCCCTCCCGACTTACGGGGAATATCGAGAGCCGGGGGAATACTGGGACCTAGAATGGCAACCTGAAATGTAAGTAACTCTCTTTCCCCCTCTTCTCGTTTCGTTTTACGTTATCGTTTTATAACTGAGCTAATCGTTTGAATTCTTTTACTTTTCTTTAACTCAGATTGGAGGACGTTGTTTTACCAGCGAAGGAGACGCCCGCCGAAAACTTTGCAACGGTCATCGCAAGAAGATGCGTAGTCCACAGGCGGAGCGACGTTCCTTTTAACAGAAGTCTGGTGGCGTACATGGAAACCGACGTCTCAGTACCCACGTCGAAATTCGTGAACGCCAGACGAGCGCTGGCCGCCGCCATGCGACGGAAGCGGACGGACAGAGGGAAGATCATGGAGGTCCCGGCCACCGGCAGAAGGT